ACAGTATAGTGTGTAGAAGAAAAGCATAGGCAAAAACTATATATTGGATAATCCACAATTCAATAATATAGTGAAATAATAAATATTAGTAAAAATAAATAAATTCCAGCTAGAAGCATCTACATGATTGAATCTAAAATTCCAAGACATCACCTTCCAGAATAATACATATTATAAGGCTCCTTTATCACAAGATCACAAACAGCACCCCACAACAATATTTTGTTAAGTTGTACAGGAAAAATAAGTAAAATTTAGTTAAAATTTTGGTTATGACTTAACATTCAGGATAACTGCTGCTTAAGGGAAGAGATGGAATTAGCATGGAAGGGAAATTGCGAAGGCAGAATAATATTATCTTTCTAGTCTAGAACTGAAAGCCCATTTCATGCCTTTCAATGAATTTCTATTAAGTGTATATTTAAGAATGCATTATCACGCTCCAATAACATTTGAAATTGTAGAATAAAAATAGGCCGATGCCATTTATTCTTAGACTAATTTTTCATTCTCTTGGCATCTGGCTGCTATGAGTTTGTGGTGAACAATGAGTGTGCAGGCCTGTGATGAGTGTGTCCTGATTTTAGTATATAAACAAATAAAACCACAGAATGCAATACAGAAAGATATTTAAAATTAAGATTCCACATGCATAAAGATTTCTCCTGAGTTATTTTTCCTAAGATCTCATATTTTTAGAAGGTTCACTTTGTATGTTTAATAAAGAGCTGGGCAGTGGTTCCAAGAATTTGGGTATTTATGGGATAGGAAGGTCAGAATTTTCTGAAGTTATATTTGTGTCTGAGCTGCATGAAACCTACAAGGGATGGTTTCTATATAATTAGAAAAAGAGTCCTATAGAAGACTTTGCCTTCCCAATAACCTTTATAAAGGCACCCTTGACCTCTTTATTTCTCACACTGTAAACCAGAGGGTTCAGCATGGGGAGGACTATGGAATAGAACATAGATGCCAATTTATCTAAGTCCATGGAGTGTCCAGAGCTGGGCTTGAGATAAGCAAAGGTGATTGTCCCATAGAGGCCGGTGACTACAGTCAGGTGGGAAGCACAGGTGGAAAAGGCCTTCTTGCGTCCTTCTGCTGAGCGCATCCTCAAGATTGTAGCAAATATTAACACATAAGAGGACAGTATTACAGTGAGGGAAAAGAAGGCAGTGCAACCTACTATAAAAAAGGTAATGATCTCAGCATTGTGTATGTCAGAGCACGAGATAGCCATAAGAGGAGGAGCATCACAGAAAAAGTGATCGATCACATTGGACCTACAGAAGGAGAGCCTGAAAGTGTTCCAAGTGTGGATGCATCCATCCAAGAAGGCAAAGACATAGCAGCCCAAGCACAGGCAAGCACACACATTTGTCGTCACTTGGGTGTTATAATGAAGGGGTCTGCACACAGCTGCATACTGATCATAAGCCATCACCACCAATAGGTTGCTTTCAATAATGGCGAAAACTCCAAAAAAGAAGAA